ACTTGTTTGCTTTATATTTATGGGAACTGCTTGGGTTATTTGATCCTAAACCCGAATCGGGGAACACCTTTTAGGTAAGTAGCAGATAAACTGTGAGGGAGCTGTGCCTGGGGTATACCGACATGGTTGAAGCAGTAGCTACGTTGATGTGGCACTTTAGTTGGCACCCGTAAACCCTTGAGTCAATCAGGGAGATGTATGGCGCCGCCGCGTGGTGTCATAAAGTATCAACTGACCTTAGAACCTTTAATTGCACAACTTGGCCAGTAGGACGTAGCGAGATGGCCGACTTTGGTGTAGGCCCAAGGTCAACAGATACTCGATGCTACACTCATTGAGATTTGGCTTCCGAGTTTTGTTTGATTACGAGTCAATCGTCGATTAAACAAGGCTTGGGGGAAAGATCGGTGATATTGAGATCCCTTTAGAACCCGATTACATATTTATAGGACAGGTTGAACCAATCCAGCTTCAAGAGGATATGACCTTAAAACTCAAGCAGGCCTTAAACCTAAGGGCTTGGTGTGATTTGTCTGTGTTTGCTATACTTGTGATTTATCATGACATCATAAACATCATGCTATAGCATATCATACTAACCGTTTCAAGGGTTTTTAGGGCTCATCTTTGCTCTGTTTTGTAGGATATGGCATCCACCCGCAAGAACACTATTCAGGTTAACCTAGTGAAAGTGTCTCCCCAATTAAGGGACTTGGCAGTAAGGATTCCCGAAAGCTCTCGTTTCACTAAAAAACATGGTCGGTTACTCAACTTGGTCACTGCAAAACCTGACGAAGAAATGTTGAAAGTGCTGTTTCAGTTCTTCGATCCTCTGCATCACTGTTTCACATTCCTGGATTACCAGTTAGTGCCTACTATGGAGGAATTTTCTCAGTTATTAGGGATACCCGTTCTTGATCAGCTACCTTTCAACGGTACGGAAAGACATCCCAAACCTGAAGAAATTGATAAAGTTATATCTTTACAACGGTCCGACATAGTGACAAATTGGGAAACCAGAGGGAGTGTTCAAGGAATTCTGGTTAAATTTATGTTCGAGAAGGCTTACTATTTTTGGGATACCTTGGATCTACAAGCTTTTGAAGAGGTTTTGGCGCTCCTTATCTACGAGATGGTATTGTTCCCTAATGCGGATCAACTCGTAAATGTGAGTACAATCAAGGTTTTTCTGTCTCGGAATTCGGTACCTACATTACTCCAAGATATTCTACACTCTCTGCATGCTCGCACTCTAAAGAGAAGGGGGACCCTCAAGTGTTGCACTCCTCTATTGGCTAGGTGGTTTATTTCGCACCTATCCAGATCTACTTTGAAGAATAAACAGGTTAAAAGATTGTCTCATCGGCTGATGTCCCTTACGCATTCAGACATTCATTGGTGCCCACGGTTCTCGGAAGACGTTACTATCATCGATCGATGTGGTGAATTCCTAATGTCCCTCTCTTAGGCATTAGGGGAGGAATCACTTATAACCCTTGCTTGGCGTTGCGGTAATTTGGTTATGCAAGAAGGGATGGACCTTGTTACACCCCAAAATTTGTCCTCCTAGTTTCTTATATTTGGCTTAGGCTTAACATTGCACTCATATCTTTTCATTAGGTCATTAACATACATTTGCATTCAATAAAGCGCTTGAGGTTCGAAGTTCAGTGGTCGCGCGATATTAGGATTTCCAGCGGTTAAGGCGTTCATATCCTATAAAGCCTAATTCTTCTGATTATCCTTCAAGTAGTAAAATGTGGAATTAGGGTTGCAACCTATGTTTATTGAGGGTTCTATTCTCTTCAAGTTAAAGGGGTTATTACTCATTCAGATACATTCAAGACAAGAGTCATAGTGTTTCTCCACCAAGTTTGTGCTTGACATCACTTCATCAACCGAGGTTCATTAGGTTTTCTAAGTCATGGCCAGCTTGGTCATATTTCTTTCTGTATCCCCATGTTCATTTCCAAGTTGTTCTACGAGGTCATCTAAAGGGCTACTAAATCAGGCATTCATTATCTCTTGGTGCTCAGCGTCATCCTTTGATTAGGGTTTATTTCTCTGAATCACGTACCATTCAAGAGAGGTTTCTCCGGGAAGTTGTGATTATCAGGCAAGGCTATAATTAAGGGATATCGTCCATGAGTAACCAGGGTTTCAATTGATATGTCTTTGGAAAATAGGAAGGAAATCATTGCTTGAATCTCTAGTTACGTGGGTAACAACTCTATTCTAGAAAAAAAGATTCAGTTGGACCTTCTTCACGAATTAAGGGTCGTATGCCTTATAATGCAAAGCTCTTCATCTGATCGATTGGTTTACTTGCGATATAATCATTTTCTTCGGATTTCATTTCAATGCTTTGAAGATCAAAATCTAAAAGCTTTGTGTGGAAGTTTAGGATTTATACCAATCAATTCTTAAGCAACCTTGAACATTTGAGAACACTAGAAGAATGTCTTGAAGGAAAATGGGAGAGAAAATTTTTGGGTACAACACGCTCCGATAAACTAAAATGTGACGATAATACCACTTCGACATCCTCCTCTGCAAATCAGTACGAGGCCCTTTCTGCTCCTCTGATTTCATCCCCAACCTCAGCCGCAAGATGACGTGTCAGCAACGCGGAACACATCTCCCGTGTGAAGCCCCTGTCACCCGACCTTCCCCGTATTTCGATCGATGCATCCTCCTCTGCTCAGGACGTTGCTATGGCGAGTTATAGCGTGCAGGTATTGTCTCGATTTTGCTTTCGACTTCATATACTGATGTATCTGTATTTGTTTGTATTTTGTTTGAAATAAGAATAAGGGAAAAGAGAAATATAAATGAGGTAAATGAAAGAGATGAAGGGGAAGGTTTTGGTTCTGAACTTCTGCTTTGCGTTGTCTCTCTCATTGATTTGTATAGCTTCCCTTGTAATTTTATTCTATTTTTTTATTGTTTAAGTGACACGTTTCACTATCCTGTTGGTCATAATGTTTATTTTAAACCTTTTTTATTTAGAAGTTATCAGGAAGCGAGAGGAGGTGCCACCTCTATAGTAGTACTTAGTTTTTTTACCAATATTATCATCTCATGACATTAATTTAAGTTTAAGTTCTTTTGGGCCTCTAATTTACCTTTTCTACTCTTTTACTAATTAACACACAAATGTTCTAATCACATCCTCTTTCAATTTTTAAATTAGTTTAATTCTTATTCGGTTAATTAATCTGTTTATTCCTAATCTATTTAATTAGTTTAGTTAATGCGATTAGTCTTTGATTAATTTAATTAATTTTAATCAAATAGTTTAAAATTTTCACTAATCAAAATTTTCCTAAAATCAAATTAATTTAACATTTCGCAAATAATAGGACAGTGGATTTTACATCCACTAAATCCTCGAATAATCAATTGATTGTCTTAATGTTTTACTAATTAATCATTCAAATCAAAACCGCGTAATTTAATTTTAATAAGGATCAACTCCTTATAAAATTCAATTTTATTCGTCCATTGCGATCTAATTCTAATGAAGGTCAACTCTTCTTCAACCAATCCAAACCTAATTAAAACATCTAACCAACCATCAAAAATTATATTTTATTAACATAATCAAATTCAAGACTTTTTTCAATAAAGAATTGTCAAGTTACTTTCAAATCGAATACAAAACTTCGTCTATCATCACTCAACTTTCAAACTCAAGCAAGTTCAAAAATCATTCAAAAGCAGTTTAATACAATCCTATAAAAAACACTAACCAAACACATTTGAACTACGAAAGACTCTAATTTCTTTTTAAGAAAATACGTAGGTACACGATTGAAAAACCAAGGCGAATCTACTAACTTAAAAAACTTATTTTTCTTCGTTTCTTTTCTTACATGATAACATAATAATTAAATAAAGAATTATTTCCTCTAAATCCTAGGTCTAAAAAGGACTCCCTTGAGTACAAGAGAGATAAAGAGTGTCTAATACTTTCTCTTTATTTAATTAACTCGCAAATCTAATAATCTCTAAACAATTAGGATTTTTTATTCCTTTCTCGTCCTTAGAACGAATAAGTAATGGTGACAACTCTTTTATTTTTTACCGATTATAACAGAAGTATCATGTCACCAAAATTGGAGTGAGGGTTCAACAAAATGACGGAACATGTGAGGACCCTCTCATTTGCACCCTCACACTCTCTTTGTTAATCCTCTTTCTCTCTTCTTTCACTACCCTCTCCGCCCTAAAAAAACAAAACAAACTAAAACTCCATCATAGAAGATTAAATACGGCAACCCAATTATACCTTCTATTTTCTTGCAAATTGAATGATAAATAGGATAGAATCGTGGGGACAAAATATGAATGAATCTTAAATTTGCTTTGGCTTTTTGTTTTTTTGAGTTTGTGATGTGATAATGTTGAATAAATGAAGACGCTACGATCAACTTGTGTTCATGTGGATACCATGTGAACTAATTGAATAAAAAACTACATGTTTACTTCAAAATATGCTTTGGATTATTCATGACATAGTGATATGGTATGTCTTGTACCAAGTTTATGCAAATTTTAACTTTGGTTTAGTTTTGATCATGCTTTATTCAATTAGAATTGTAAAAGAAGATGATGATGACAATATAAAGGCAAATGAAAATTACATGTTTTTTCTAATTTTACTCTTGGTTGACTTTAAATTGGATGATAATAACATGTATGAATGAATGAATTTCAAATTAAAAGATGAATCAAACCTTCAAAAACAAAGTTTAATCTATGTTTTTTGGACTAAAAATGGGATGAAAGATAGATGAATCTTGAATTTGAAAGTACAATCCCTAATTTGAATTTTAAATTGAAATGGCGTAGTGACGGCAAGTAGTATAAATGAATGAATCCAAAAGTTCACTTTTAACCCAAAGTTGATTGTTAAGTAATGAAGAATTCCAAACATTTAGGTTAATGCCAAATATACACATGATTGCACGAAGTAAAGCGAAATTGACTCAAAATACATGAGCTCTCTCATTGTTTCAATATACTTGACTGTACACAGACCTATTCAACATGATAATCAAACAATTCCCCAAACAATCTCAACTAAATGGAATTCAACATTTTCCCTTCAACCATGGCAATTCGTTATCACCCTTAATCAACTCTCTGCAAGTCATTCAAAGCACGAAAATAAATTCCACATCACTTTTCTCACCACGTAAGAGCTAACCTAATCATAATCTGCATAATAAAGAATGTATAAATAAATAAACTCATAAAAGAGATGATTTATAAACTTGATGTCACAGAACCAAAGTTTCAGTTAAATTTAGTTGTCGCAGAAAATTTCAACAACCATGAAACATTAATCAATTCACAAAAAAAATCAAAACAAAAATAAAACCAAACAAACTAACACTAAACATCAATAGAAAACAAATCGATACCAAATGTTCTCGCTACAATCTCATAATAGCTTTTCCAAAATCATCAAGCGATTTTCTCCATTACGGATAAACCCACAAATCCTTGAGCAGCGCAACCGATTCGTGAAGTTGTTGAGGAAAACGAAATCGCCAGGAAAAGAATGAGATTATGGGTTTCTATGAACACATGTAGGTGGTGATGGTCGTAGATATGGAGACGGTGATTTAGGGTTTTGGGAGAGAGAGAGGGAAAGGAGGGTTTTCCAAATTATACGGATGGGAAAGGGAAAAGTGGAAAATATGTGTGCCACTTGGTAATTAAATTTGATTTAGTCAATTACAATAAAGAGCATTTTATAGTGTAAACTAATTATGTACAAGGGATAAATTAAGGAGATTGGTGGTATGTCTCATTCTTAGTTAGGTAGTTGATAACTACGGGTATATGGTATAGAAATAACTAAAATGAATGGAAATGACACACTTTTGGAAATTAATGCAAAATCTTTTGACTTTTATTTTGACTTATGAATGCACATGAGAATCAATGACCAAATGAAATGGTCATGATGTCTTGATGCAAATGAATTAGATGCAATAAAACATGTGAAAATCTTAAGAAAAAATTTAGTGTGTGACACAATGCTCAATGAGACCAATCTTCCTAAATATTTTTGGGTTAATGTTGTAAACACATATTGCTATGTTATGAATCATGTCCTGATAAGACCAATTCTAAAATTGATGCTCTATGAACTATGCAAAGGAAGGAAGTCGAATTTCTATCACCTTCACGCCTTTGGTTGTAAATGTTTTGTCTTCAATGTAACACTCGAGGCTGAAGAGGACGGAGAGTGGTTACATGTAACACCCGAGGGTGAAGGAGTGGTTTTCAGTGCGTGAGGCATGGCAATGAGACACTCTTAGAAGCTTCTAGGGAAAATCAGAATTCACATCGGAAAGAGAGGGATCCTGAGACCGTGCATGTATGGGACTGCATGGTTGAAGAAAGACTTATAAGAATTAATTGGTACTACCTATACTAAGAAGATGCGTCTTATTTTTGGTAGCATAACCATAAAAACTCCACAGTTAAGTGTGATTGACTTGAAGCAATTTTGGGATGGGTGACCTTTTGAGAAATTTCCTAGAAAACGTGTGAATGAGGACAAATCACGCATAAAAGACTTGTGTTGATTTGTGGGGTTAGTCGGTAATCCTAAAAGAAGTCTGGGGCGTTACAAATGGTATCATAACCAAACTTGTCTCAGTACAATGTTGTTTGGGGACGAAACAAACAGAAGCTGGCGGGTATGTAACACCCAGGCCGAAGAGAGAGGATAGTGGTTACATGTAACACTTAAGGGTGAGGGAGTGATTGTTGATGCATGAGGCATAGAAATGAGACACTCCTAGAAGATTCTAGGGAAAACTAGAATTCACATCGGAATGAGAGGGATTTTGAGACTGTGCAGGTATGAGACTGCATGGTTGAAGAAAGACTTATAAGGATTAATTGGTACTATATATACCAAGAAGATGCATATTATTTTCAGTAGCCTAACCATAATAACACCACAATTAAGAGTGATTGATTCTGAGCAATTTTGGGATGGGTGACCTTCTGGGAAGTTTCCCAGAAAATTTGTGAGTGAGGACAAATGCTGAAAAGACTTGTGTTGGTTTGTGAGGTTAGTCGGTAATCCTGAAAGCAGTCTGGAGTATTACACTCAACAACGAAAAAAGATAACCTTGGGAGTTTTGATGCAAAAGCTTATAAAGGTGTATTCGTAGGATATTCCACTTCTAGACAATCTTTTAGAATATATAATAGAAGAATCAAAATAACCGAAAAATCAATTCATGTGTACCTTTGATGAAACTAACACAAACATGTAGAAGTTGTTTATTGTGCGGGTATTCTTGAAAAGTAAAGTCTGGAGGATGATAAAAAACTAGACCAAGAGAAAAATGAAAATCTAGTCACAGAGGAAGAACCACTTTAGGATCAAAACCCAGACACTCCGTAAGAACATTCATACCTCCCATAGGAATGAAGATTAACAAAAGATCATTTGATTTGAAACATTATTGGAGATATATCCAAAGGATTCACTACCAGATAGTCTCTAAATAAGATACGCAACTTTGTGGCTTTTGTTTGACAAATTGAACCAATGGGAATCAAAGAGGCCATAGTCGACGAACATTGCTCTCTTTCTATGCAAGAATAGATAAATCAATTTTGAACAAAAACATTTGGGAACTTGTTCCCATGGATTCAAATAATCTAGTAATTGGAACCCGATAGATATTTCACAACAAGCTAGATAAAGATGACAATCTTTTAAGAAATAAATACAGACTCGTTGCGAATGGATACAATCAACAAGAAAAAAAATATTTTGATGAAACCTATGTTCATGTAGCTAGATTAGAAGCCATATGGATGGTATTAGATTTCTCTTAGATCATGAATTTCAAATTATTTCAAATGGATGTAAAAAGTATTTCTAAATGGTTACATCAAAGAGGAAGTATTTGTTGACCAACCTCCAGGTTTTATCGATGCAACATTTTCAGACCATGTTTTCAAGCTTAAGAAGGTATTTATGGGTTGAAACAAGCTCCTAGAGAATGGTATGATTGTCAAAATTAATTCTTGCTTGAAAATAAGTTCCAGAGAGGACAAGTTTATAAAACTTTATTCATCAAGAAAACCGAGCATGATATTCTATTATTTCAAATTTAATTTGATGAAATCATCTTCGGAGCTACTAACGAATTCTTGTGCAAGGAATTTTTTGAGATTGTGCATAATGAATTTGAAATGTCAAAGATGGTAAGACTAAAGTATTTTCTAGGACATCAAAACCATCAAACAAAAAAGAGAACATTCATAAGTCAAGCTAAATATTGAAAAATAATTTCTAAAAAAATTTGACATGGATAAGTAGAAAGTTTTAGCAACACCAATGTCAACCTCATGCAACCTCAACAAAGAGGAAGATGGAAAACAAGTTGAGGAAAAAACGCATTAAGGTATGATAGTCTCTCTTATCTATCTAATTACATCCCTTCTTGATAAAATGTTTGTTGTATGTACGTGTGAATGCTATCAAACATCCCTGAAAGAATGACATCTCAGTGTGGTAAAATGCATTATGAGATATCTCTCTGACACGTAACGCATAGGTTTATAGAACCCCAAGGGAGCGGATTGTGACTTAGTTGGATACTCTGAGTCCAATATTTCTAGGTGCATATTGGATAGGAAAAGTATTAGCGGTGTGAAACAACCGGCTGAAAATCATCAAACAATGAAGTCTCCATCGAACGTCTTTCATCCCACGTAGAGGGAAAGGTAAACATCGAGAAAACTTGAGAAGGGAGAAGACACGGTCTTACGATTGAGAGATTGGGTAAGGGAGTCTGTTACATGAGTGGAAGGTATTAGCACCCCTCACGCATGTAGTACTCTATGATATCCACTTTTTGTTATCTATCTTATGGGTGCCTCTAATCTATGCTTACTGTTCATTTCCGAGGAAGAATGCATGAAAAAGAAATGAGAAAATATTGTAGCGAAAATAAAGTTGTACTCGCTTGGGCCCTATCCCAATGCCTACATATCCTTTTTGAGGAATCAGAGATACCGTAGTTCGGCTCACATGTTTTTGTTTGTTTTGTGTTTTTTATGGACAATGTTAATTCCGCCTTCTACCGCAGCTCGACCTTTGGAGACTTATGCGTTGGCACATAAGTAAATTAATCATATCCTTACCTGAAAAGGGTTTCGAGTTACGCCCTCGAGGCAAGATGTCACATTTGATTAATCTGTGTTTTGTTACCTTGAAAAGGGGTTTAAGTGTGGTTAGCATATTTTATGATTTGCTAAGAAAAAGTTTTATTTTTAGATGCAAGGATGCAAAAGGGAAAGAAAAGAGTTTACGGGAGACTAACATATTACTAATCTAATGTTATCATACAATGGAAGCCCTACGTCAAGGATGAAAGCGGAATCTCTACCTAATGTTAGCATGCATGGTTTGAAACCTAAGGTCTAGCTTGTATCCGAAAGGAGCACGCACATCCTAAGGGAACATGGTATGTACAAGGATAAAGCAAGCAAACTCGAAAGAGCACACACATAAAAAAATAAGGAAAATAAATGAAATGCTTTAGCCAATGGAAGCGTATCATCCGAGACAAACAAGCGGGAGTGAGATGTAAAAACATAAATGTGACGTCCAAAGCGACTGAACACCTAACCAAGATATATGAGATTGAGGTAGGCGACAGAAGGCAATATGAACGATCACAGAGTATCAGCATTGGCCAATGCAAACTCCTGACAAAGCATGTGGGTCCGATTGCAGAACCCTTCCCCACTTGACGACTCAATACACATGAGCAGGCACAAATCTGAAGCACCATGGTACGTCACGAGCTAAGGATGATACAGACGAAATTGCGGGGGTTTATTGTTAACCCTCCCTGCTCGCCTCCTTTTGTGGACTTATCATCTGTACATATGCGGGCACAAATATAAACACACATGCAGAATACCTACACATAAATCAATAAGTGCATTGTTGATTTCCATATTACCTATAGAGACAAGTAAGATGACTACTCCATGGTTGGCTTCCTTCATATGTATGTTCTTTAATTCTTCCATGAAGGCTTCATCCTGCACTTCTTCTTCTTCTGACTCTTTTGCTCCTTCTTGCTTGGCTTTAACAATAACTTTATCATCCCTAACAACAACATGGTATTTTTCCTTTGGATTATTC